TGAACAACCTGATAATGCTCACTCTGGTTATTGTTTCCGTTTTTAAAAGCGCTATATGTTGAGCCAGCTTAAATTAAATATTATCATTTTTTTAGGGCATGAATCTGAATTGAACAACCTGATAATGCTCACTCTGGTTATTGTTTCTGTTTTTAAATGCGCTATATGTTGAGCCAGCTCATGTGACATTTGTCATGTGACATTTTCAGCAGTAATCATTGGTCGATTTTCTAACGTTGCCATTCGGGGAGTTGTAATGAGGGTTTTTTTGGTGCCGTGTAAGAGAAATATATATATAGATTATTGCATAAAGTAAAGCTATTAAAATTGAGGCGATCAGAGAGAACAACGGATTAAGTTTAACGATGATGAGGGGAACAGTACTTTCGGCTTCTGTGCACTTCATCGAAATTGATCTTTCAACTTAGATGTAAAGTACTAGAAAGCCTACAGAAAAACTTCTAAACAGAAATTCTTTTACCTGTATATTTTATTTATTCTTCTGAGAGGTATCATAAACTCATTCATCTGAACAGTAAATGTATGGAATATGTGTCGAATCATAGTCATGAACATTTAACTGAACACCTGAGGCCGCACACGGCTCTTTTCCCACTCATATTACACGGATGATTGAGAGAATAGGAAAACGTTGAAAATGAAATGCATATAGTTTCACTTGGAGAGAAAATAAAGGAACACGTTGCCCAGTAGTGAGGATTAACAGTAAAAATCAGTAGACGGTAGGCTTAAAAAAATCACCCCGACTAACGTTTGATCTAATAATCGGATCCTCACATTCTAAGACTCAATCTTAATAATTCAAGGTATTGACCTGAAATATGTAAACTGATTAGTGCAGACAATATTTTAAGATACAAATCAGACATACAATGACGTTTTTATGAGTATACATACCTCTTTTTTCGACTGATTCGGATTTCTTACTCCCAAAATGCAGAGAGGAGTCACAATCTGGGATATGTGGTCCTAATTGTTTGGGCAGAAGTAGGGTCAAAAGTTTGGACCCCTTAATGCTCATTTGTCTTTCTGCGTATTTTGTCATATCTCAACTAATTTTTAATATACTTACACGCAATTATAAAATTCACTTATACAATAATAGTTTCTATCAAAAATCTATTTTTAATAACAATTGTTATTTTCTGTTACTTTATTTAATTAGAGTCGAAAATATTTAGAACTGCAAAGCATATATTTTTAAGAGTGTTATTTTATAAGGTTAAATACAAAATTTGAACGAAATTAGTTATTAGTTCCTGAGAAATCGAGTTTTATGTATCTGATTTTTTAACATTCGATTTCTCTGTTTAACTATCTGATTTTTAATTATTGAAATCTTTAGGGAATTGACTACAATTCTACGAATTTTTCATCGAGGAGAAAAGTCAAATGAACATTAGAAAGAATATAGGATCCAAAATCTTGTTCTTAATTTTAAATGTATCATTATTTTTATAACGGAGCGAAAATAACAACAGTCACTATTAAACAAATGAGTCTGAACAGAATCTATGATCTAGTTCTAGGTAATTCAAAATACGTATACTTGTTTCGTGATTTTGAATAAAAAAGATTTTTTAATGTTATTTATGTATTTTTTAAGCGAATATACTGAAACGTCAGTAGCAAATATGAATCAACAATGCCGACAGAAATAGTTCCAAGAAAATTATAAAAACAATGAAAAAAATTGGGGTTGAGGATTTTTAACGAAAGTGCATTACAATGGATAATATGTTGTTTCGCTGGAAATGAATTTTGGAATAGGAGAATTGAATAAAACAACAAAACAATTTATAAAATCTTTTATTCAAAAGTTTCATGCCACGAAAATTATTTAAACATGTAAATTTTACGTATTTCCTTGTTATTAACAATATTTTCATGTGTGAGTAGACAAAAAGTTGTTCCTTTCTTGTATATATCTATAATATTCATTTTTAAGATATTTTTTATATAAATTACTAATGATAAAAAGTGTACACAAACAAACGAACTATATCTTTTTTCTAAAGACCGTTGATCGTTTTAAAATTAGAGCTGAACTTTACCCTCTAAATAATTAAATAAAAACATTTCCTAATTTCCCTTTTTTTCTTGGGTTCTTGTAAATTATGTTTTAGTTTTTTACACAAAATTAATCTTGTAATTACTTAAAAATAATAAAATTGATTTTTTGGATTGAAAACCTATGCCTACATTAGAGAAAGTATTTCAGCTTCTTCAGATTTGTTTTAAACATAAAACCGTTTATTCTCATTGCTTTTCCAGGGAAAAAGATATATTTGCTTTTTTACGATATACAACTTATCATAACTATTAAATAAAATTAATATTGTGATCTTTTTCACATTTCTTAGATTTGAAATAGTCCTTATTGTAGTTAAAGCAAAACAGATTTGTAAGCTTTCTTTTGTGATTTCTGTATTATTGTATTCGGAAATCAATTCAAGCATTTACTCTCTTTCTTCTTCCTTGTCAGGGCAACAGCCTCTTGCATGCTTCAACAGCTGACAAACGCCAGAGCCTCTTATCCATGGAAACTCCCAATTTCTAATATTTAGGGTTTTCAAATCATTTTCGATGTTGTTCAGCCATCTAAAAGGGGGTCTGCATCTGGTACGTGACCCCTAGGGGTTCTTAAAGGTGACTATTCTTATGGTGCTATTTTCAAGGCCTCTCCATAGATGGCCCAGCCATATCAGCCTATTACTGCCAATTATTTGTGAAATTTGGGACTGCTTGTTGAGTCGGTATAGCAAGAAGTTATATCTGGTTCGTCTTTTCTTGAATTGCGCCAAAGATGGTTTTGAGGATCTTTCTTTCAAAAGTTGACAGTTTTTACAGTTGAAGACGAAAATTTTATGAATTTTGTCTTATCTTCATTAATAGCAAGACTCATATTTGTGGCAGCTGCTGCGAGAGCTCGAAAAGCCTCTTTGACATCCCTTTCTGACCTTCCAATTATATCGATGTCATCAGTATTGGCCAAAACTTGAAGAGACCTATTCCAGAGAGAGCCTCTTCTTTCCAATACACTATCTCGGATACACTTCTCCAAAGCAATGTTAAAAAGTAAGCAAGCAAGGGAATCACATTGACGCAAGCCTCTCTCAGTTACAAAGGGTTCAGAAAGATGGTTTTAAATTTTAGTCCGGCTCCTCACATTATTGAGCGTAGCACCGGTAAGGTTAACAAGCTTTACAGGTATACCGAACTCACTCATTGCCTCATACAGCTTATCCCTCTTGATGTTATCATAGGCAGCCTTGAAGTTTATAAATAAGTTAAAAGTCTTGATGTTATATTTAGTTTTTTTCTCCAGGATTTGTCTTAGAGTGTGGATTTGGTCAATGGTGGACCTTTGAGATCTAAATCCACATTGGTAGTTTCCAACCACTTTATCAGCAAAAGGCTGGAGTCTAAGTAAAAAGAATATTGGAGAAGATTTTATGTATGCCATATTGAGTAGGGTAATGCCTCTGTAGTTAGGACATTCAGGTTGGTCTCCTTTTTTAAAGATGAGGCAGATAGAGCCTTTTTCCCATTCAATGGGCAATTTCTCCATGTCCCAAATTTTAAGCATGATCTAATGGATAGCATTAATAAATTCAGGTTCATCAACCTTAAAAAGTTCAGATGGAATACAGTCGGGACCAGCCGATCTGTAGTTTCTAAGTTTTTTAATAGCGAGCTTCATTTCATCGGGGGAGGGTGGAGGATTTTTCACTTCTCGGAAGTGACTGAATCGGCTTGGTCGATCCGAGAGTCGACAGCATCGTTTCCGCCTTCAAGTAGGTATTGAAAGTATTCCTTCCACACATTAGTTACTTTTCTGGGTTCACTTACTAACTCTCCTTTTTTATTTCTACAGGTGATTGTTTTTGGTTTAAAGTCCCTTCGCATGAAATTGACAGTTCTGTAGAACCTCCTACATTCATTTTGGTTGTTCAAACTTTCAAGGTTTTTCAATGATTCCTCCAGGAACGCCGGTTTTTTCTCTTTATGTGGTTTGTTTTCTAGCCTTCTCAGATTCCTACATTTTTCCTCGAAAATTCTCGTACGGTGCTTTTGTAGCATTAATCTATAGGCTTGGTCTTGTCTTCTGCAGCCTTTCTGCAATCATTGTCAAACCACTCATTTCAGGTTCGTTGTCCCAGATCTGGGATAGCTTCACGTGTAGATTTCAAAATGGTATCCTTTATTGCGTACCAGTCAAAAATGGAGCCTGGTCTCCCTTTTTCTTCATCAATTCTATTGGATAATTTAATTTTATATTTTACACCCTTTCCCCCGAAAAAGAACTGATTCGCAGAACTGATGATTGACTTAGACGTCTTCAACTACATTCCATTGAGAGTTGTTGTTTACAGTGCAATCAAAGATCATTTCTATATCAAGAAATGTTTAATGATTGGTCAAGGGGTTAAAATAGACATTTGATTGCTAATCTGTTTTATTTTACTTTTTAAGCTTAGACGAAATATTGTTTGCCTTGGCCTTAAATTAATCTAGGCTTGATGATAGAGTATTCAAATAAGAGTACTCAAACATATTATTTGTGTTTGATGTATTTAAATTTATGTTTGATGTTTGTTGTATTAAGTTGGATGTATTTTAACAGATGTAGGTGACCAATTTCTCGCAATTAAAAATTTTGGATTATTTTTATAAATTTTTTGATATTTCATTTCATGCAAAATAATATACAATTAGAAAATTAAAGACATGTGTTTAAAATAGATACAAAAGAAAATAAATATTTATTACTAATATTTGACAGCAGAAAATTTTATTATAAGAGTTTAATAGGTTTGTACGTATTGAAATTATAATGCCGTTTGGACGAATAAGAAAATTCAAATTATGTAATGGTTATATTTATGTTTAAAATTACTTTTAATGGTTAAATGTAGTATTTCTTGAATTTTCAATAACGTCTGTTAGATTACACATTTGATTCGATCTCGCTTGTTTACTTCATTTAAACTATAAACTCAACGAGTATATTGCATTTTTCTTATTAGTTTGCTTCCATTTTTTGTAACATTTTGTAACAATGCTTTTTATTTTACTTTTTCAGGTTAAAGGAAAAGCACATCCTATCAAACATCACAAGGTTGGTCATCATCACCGTCATTGCAATAAATGTCGTGAGTTTAAATTTTTTTTTATTAGATTCAGTATTATATTTCATTTTATAGAAATTAAAAATAACTTTTGCTTGATCGCAAAAAATAATTTCTCTATTTTGATTAATTGTTTTTTAAATGCCTGAAAAACAGTTTTAATTTACGATCTATTACCGCTCTTTTAGCAAAATTTTGATTAATTGTTTTTTAAATGCCTGAAAAACAGTTCTAGTTCATGGTCTATTACCGCTCTTTTGGCAAAATTTTGATTAATTGTTTTTTAAATGCCTGAAAAACATTTCTAGTTTATGATCTGTTACCGCTCTTCTAACAAAATTCTAATATTCGTTTCTATAATTTCGACCCAAAATAATATACATTAAAATGTATAGATTAAAACCAAACAGAAGTTTACAAAATGTTTGTCCCATTTTGACTCTTAACCTAAAAGTCTTTTTCTATTATTCTGAGAGTCTCTTTTAGCTCTTGTTCACTCTGCGAAAGGTACGAAATTAAATTTTTTTAAACTTAAATTTTAGAGCATGCGGTGTATCTGGTTTCACCGAGGAGCGCATTATCAATGGAAAAAAAGTTGAAGATTACAGAAAATATCCTTGGATTGTAAGTATTTCTTTTTTAATGTTTGAAGAAAACTTATCAGCTTGACAATTCTCTTCGTTTATAAGTTTTGTTATATTTGTCGCGTGAATTAAATTTTTTTTGTGAATACATATGAAGGGAATAGGATTTTATTTTCGTTCAATTTTTAATGGAAGCTTAAAATTATTAAAGTAAATTAAGGTAACTAAAATAGACAAAATTGTATCACAGTATTTGATAGAAAGATTTTGCGAAGTATACTTAGTAGTGTAAATGAAAACAATAACTTGAAAAAGAGATTTAACTTTAAACTGTATAAGATTTATAAACAAACCGATATTATTAAAGACATAAAAATAAATGGAATGAATTGTATGGCCCACGTGATTCGAATGAGTGTTGACAATACGATGAAAAAGATACTGCTTTTTAGACCCACTGGAACAAGAGAAAGGGAATGGCAGCTGTTGAGATGGGCTGACTCAGTTGAGTCTGATTTTCTTACAATTAATGAAAAGAAATGGAGATCAAAGATGAATTGGAAGTCATCATTGAGAAATATTCAGAGGAAGGCATTGGCCCACATTGAACTTTCTGGCCAACTATGATGATGAGGAGGAGGAAAATAGAAATGAATTTATTTAAGGTTTAAAAAGTACCCTTGATATTTGTTATTTTTTGACGAAGTTTTAAATAATAATTTAATTGCTTTAATTATTTTAATTATTAAGGGGAGAATGAGCAATTGCGTACATGTTTAAGCATGTTAAATTTAAAAAAATTGGCTTGACAATTCTACTTGTTTCTAAGTTTCTTATATTTGTTTGCTAAATTGAATAAATTTTTTCTTTGTAAATACAAGTGAAAGGAACAGAAATTTATTCTCGTTCAACTTTTTAAAACAAGGTAAAAATAATTACAATTCAACTAAAGTAGAAGTGAATATATTTAAGGTTTAAAAAGTCTCCTTGATATTTTGATTTATCAAATATTTTTCTTAAAAAATTATTAAATAATAATTTTATTTATTTTAGTTATCAAAATGGAAAGCGTAATTGCTTGCACGTTTGAGCATGTTTAATTTAAAAGAATTTAGAAAAGGCTTTTTCAAATTAAATTATTAGTCATGAATTTCTACTAGCTCAATTTCTAGCTATGTATTTAATACGCATTTAAAGTAGTTTAAAATTGTTATATCAGTTAATATAATTTCAATCAAACTTTTAAAAATTTCTATTCATTATGTTTACAATTTGCTTAATAGTTTTGATGAAACGGAGTCAAAAATGTTGAGAAGTTAGGTTGTTATATGAAATAACGTATTTTTGCAAATTGTGTGTTATTTTCATACCTGCTTAGAATTCGTAGTAGTTATTGATGAATATTAGATGAAGTTTATATTATATTTAGCCAGTGGCTTCTGTGCTGATTCTGAAAATAGAGCAAAACGTCATTATGAATAAAATCAAGTTTTTTTAAAATGAAATATGTATATCATCTAATTTTTTAATATTAAATAATGGAGTATAATTAAGTAATTATTCTTCAATGCTGTTTTTCTGCACTATTAAAAATGTATAAGAATTGAAAATTATTCATTGATTTATATAATTTGCATCTAAGTGTTAAAATCTCGCTAAATTAGCGATGTTTAAAAATATTTTATAACTTACAAAATAACAAAATTCATTTGCTTGTTTAAATGCCCGCAAAATTGTTTACTGCGAGATGACATAGATAGGCTAAAATTATAACTTTACGCGCAATGCACTTAAAGATAGAGTTTTGAAAAATAGTGTTAAAGATGTTCTTTTATTTTATTTTATAACTGTTACTGAATAGCCGACCCAGTTTTTAATTTATAACTATCAAAGTTCAACTCTGTAGACTTGTAATTTTGAACCCAATCCAGAAGTCAAAAGAGTTGAAGTATTTGGAGAAATTTGACTTCGTGGAGGACTTTTTGATGAAACTAACTCGCATTTGTGTTACATGGATAGGAAAAAAATGAAAATCTCCCACGGTTAGCCTCATGACTAGGGGACTCTAACCCATGATCCCTCTATCACTGAGGATATTTTACATGAGCAATGTGGTTGGCTCGAGGTGGATGCAGAATTTGTATCGATCAGCCTTCGTTGGGATTAAAACCTTTTTCATCTCTTTGGGAGGCGAACGCTTTATTTCTTGAGCCAACAACACTCAAGGATGTTCTTTGAAATAAATTCTTTCTCCAATGAAGAAAAAAAATGCTACAGTTTGAATACTGAACACGAAGTAAAGCTTTTAACTATGCAGAGTGATTGTTTGTTGTTGTTGACGTATGCCTGTTTAGGCAGAGGGGGTGCGATTGTTCTTGATTTCCAGTGGCGCCATCTATGGCCAAGAATTCGACTTCTGCCACGCCATACGTCACCCCCGTTTATAGGGCTGACCCACTCATAGATCCATTTAATCATCTACAGATCGTAATTTTGACCAGAATCAGAGAACGGTCGATCTCCAATCCAGTACCCCAGTGGTATTGATTTGTTATGGGAACATGGAGGACTTTTGCGACTCGACAGATTTAACGTGCATCAGTTACTTTGCTACACGGGGAGTCTTCGGCCGGCGGTGCTCGAACTCACGAACTCTCGGACATGAGCCCCGCTCCCTACCGACCAGCACAACAATTACGAACTATATTCTTATTCAATCAATCCTATCACTCCTTCAAATGTAACAGCTGTGTTGAATCCCTTTGTATTCACTAATGTTCTAAAAAGAATTTTCTGGAATCAGATATATTTTATAAACATCTAAGCTATTTATTAGCTCATCTTAAGCTTAAAAGTAAATTCACCATCATTTTTTCCTCAAAAGTGGATATGATTAAAATCAATGAATAGTTCTCAACTTTTGCAAGCTAAAACAATGCAGGGCTGAATTCCGTTGTGAAAAAAAAAGCTAGCCCACAATTTTTTTTTCACATTTAAAGTCATGCAGTTTTTTTACATCTTGAAACTTCATAATCAGCATGGATAATGTAGGGCACAAAGATGAACAAAATCTTATAATCCTGAATTTGTGTTATAAATTTATAAGATATAAAATTATTCGCTGAATACCACTATTTTATCTGATCTCTGAGCCTACAGTAAAATATTACAAATACATTTATTCAACTCTAAAAACAATGAATTTCTTGGTTGTCTTCAGAACCATGATTAAAAAATAGGGAATTTACTTTTTAGGTCGGTATAATCCATGATAAATCAGCGACACCATGGGGTACATGCGGTGGAGCTTTAATTTCACCAACATTTGTCTTATCGGCAGCGCATTGTTTTCGCAGATACCTGTAAGTAATAGGAATTCCATGCACTAAATGAAATCCTAATTGTTATCATCCCTTTGACGCAGAAATTTCATTAAACATATTTTTCATGCTTTTTTTTATTTTATTAATTTTCATTTATTTAGTAGGTCCAAATCAGTTTAAATTATTATATTTAACATTTTAATAATTTTATTTATGAAATACAGCCTGAAATACAGGTTTCTTTTTCTGCGTTAAAGGTAAAATCTTACGTCCAAGCAATAGTTTTTTCAATTTGCACATATTTGCACTTATTTAGAGCTAAGAGAAACAGTTATTCATCATTGAAATTTCTTTAGTTTGCAAAACTATTTATAGATAAATCTTTGAATACGAATGAAAAAAAAATTTCAAACTACTTTCTTAGAGTGTTATATTTTCGTACAAATATAATTCCGATAATCTAACAATTAATTTTTAGCATTTATTTGTGTTTTATAATTAAATAATAACAATATCTATTTTCGCTTGTAAGTAGAGCGGCAGAAAAAATACATAAGCGGGAAACCAGTGTCCCATCTGCATGAAAGGATTGAAACTTTAATAATAACTATGTGTAATTAAATTAATTGCTGAGTTACGTTATTTTGTATTATGAAATCAGACTGAAAAAATATAATTTCCCTTAATAAGTATAAAATTGTTTGATAGATTTTGAAACTTGACTCCCCAAACAATACGAAGAGTACAATCAGAAAAATATAGTCTTGATAGTTAAGAGTCGGTCCCAAAATTTCTTTCAGAAGTTTTTTGTCTTCTGGCTTGGGTTCAAATTTACAAGTCTACGGAGTTGAACACAAGTAGTTGTTAACCTGAAATTAGTCCGGCTGTTCAACGACGGTTATAAAATGTTAGGGCTCCTTAATGTTAATTTCACTTTGTGAGAAATTCCCTTATCAAAAAACCTTAAAGAAACTATTAAACTTTTCGGACATAGATATAAAATTTGTTTCTCTAAAGACAGTTCCAAGAATGAAATATGATGATTTCATATTATTTAGTTTAATATTGGTTTGGAAGTTTGTTGATTTTGAAATTAAAAATTTTTCAAATCATTAAAGGATATGTAATTTTAATTAACGGCATCCAAAAATTCAATTGAATAGCTCTTTAAATATAAATATTTAAAATTTAATTTTTTTTTAAAATATTCCTTACTCTGAAACCTATATGACCATTTTCACTGAAATTTTCTGTTTGATTATTTAAAAATACATAAATTTAAAATGAAGTAAAAAACTTGTATACAAAACTTGAACAACTTGCAACACAAAAAAGTTTTCAACAATTATTTTGATTAATAAACGCAAAATACTTACAAGAAATTAATTTCACATTGAAATAGCTTTGGATATACGAATTTTAGAGCTGAGAGCAAGATGTTTTGGATTCATTTCAACAGTTCCTGAAGTACTTCAAAATGTATTCAAATCTTTTGACTAAGTTATTGGAAACCTTAAACGAAATTTTAGGTGAAAAAATTGTAAACTTTTCACCTAAACACAAAAGAAAAACACAAAAGAAATTTTTTTTTCGCTAAAATATTTCGAAACAATACAACTTTCACCTATACTGCTTTGAAAATGAATTCAAAATATTGATTAAAATTATTTTAATAAATATATATCCTTCAAAAACGATTTTTATATAAAACTAAATTAGCTATCTTCTCCATTATGTGAATCGNAAATGAAGAGGGAGAAAGTACATTTTTACCACTTCAATGACTGCCCTGTGCTTGGTGTATTTCAAGTTAAAGCTTGAATGTCAGGTCTTATGCTCGTCAGATTTAAACGTGGGTCTCCTTTGAAGCAAATGTCCAACCTTTCTCTTTGATTTTTTGAGTAGCTGGAAGACAGAACTAAATCCTCTCTCCAATAAATATGTTGACGGGAATGAGATGAGAAGCGGCTCAGTTTGTTTCCACAATTGCGGATAAGTGTCCATAAGCTCTACCCAAGCTAACTCGTAACCGTATTTTTTAAAGACGACTTTAGCCTCTCAGTCATACTTCAAATCTAAAATTTCAGTCTACAATGAGGAAGTGAGCTTATCCACAACTTCAAAAGAGAAAGGATCGAAAATCCAATCCGGATTTCTAATTTCATCAAATCTTTAAATCTTGATTCCGTAACTGATCAAGGTGATCAGTAAAAATTAAGATTTTATTTTCGAGAATCTCGATATCTGCCATTGAACACTTTTTTTGAGTTGGAAATTGCATTAGCTCTTTGCGACCAATGTTTGACTTGTAGATATCAAACTTGGCGATGAATGAAGATATTATTCCCTTAGCCTTGATAATGTTCATTTAATTTCCTTGAAGCTTTACGTTGACTTCCTTTCTTTTTTCAAAACTATGAGTGAGGTACGCAGTTTACAACTTGCGTTGCTTCAAACTCTCACTTAAAACAGGATCAGTGGTGTCGAGAAACTTAGAAACCGAATCCAGCAATTCGAAGAAACGGCTCAGTTTCCTTTTGAAAGCCATCTCACAGCTGTATGTAGGAGCAGGAATTCGAAATCTTCATAATTTGCATGGCAAAGTTCTCGGAACAAACGGTTATTAGGAGAATTAACTTTTATTTTATTGATGCCAGCAATAACCAATTTTTCGCATCCAAAAGTTGACGTTGAATGACATAATAAATGGTGAGATAACTTCCATTACTTCTTTTTAAAGGTGACACAGAAAACCAGTATGACAACCAGACATGGTTGGAGCACAATCTGTTGCATAAGCACTTACATTTGTGAGGGGAATTTCTTTTACCTCAAAATAATCTTTGACCAATTTAAAAATCGACGATCCTTTTGTATCAGTGATCAAAGTTCTTGTAAACAACATTTCCTCGTTAATCTCCTTACTCTCATTTATGTATCTCACGTAAGCTAAAACAGCTTTGTTATCTATCACAGTTGATTCATCAATGTACAACGCAAATTTACCTTCTTTCAGAAATTTGATGAGTTTTGATTCAACGTCGGCGGCCATCTCATCAATACGCCTGGAAACAGTATTATTGCTCAGGGGAACAGAGTGACTTATCAGATTACCGCCTGCGTTACCAAATAGTATGAGGAAAACGATCCTGCACTAACGATAACGCACTAACGACCCTGCACATTTTTAACTATCATAATTCTTTGTCTACATATATATTTTCAATTCAATAGGTTTCATATATATTTTCAATTTTAATCTCAAATAGCTTTTATTATTAATATTACTAGCAATTTTTATCTTTTGAGTACTCGTTGCCCCCTGATCGCCCCCCTAAGGATTATCGCCCCCTTGAGAAGCTCTATCGCCCCCAGGTTGGGAACCACTGCTTTAGACAAACCTATTCGGAAAAAAAAACTATTCTTCTCATAGACAACTGCATTGCTCATAACAATTTGATAAAACTTGAAAAATATCACTGTAAAATATTTTCCTGGAAACACCACCTCAAAACTGAAACCTATGGATCAAGGGATAATTAGGAGTCTCAAAGTGAACGACTGAAAGCAGTTGGTACTCAGACTTGTAGATGCTATCGATGAAAAAAGTTCTCTTGCAAAAATGCGTTGGGTGCTATCAGAATGACTGATTATGCCTGGAGAAATGTGTCTCTGAAAACTATCTAAATTGACTATCCAAGCTGGTTTTTAGAGTAGCTGTAAAGATGATGAAGGAGAGGTAGAAGGCATCAGTAAAGAAGAAGAAACTGTTGATAATGAAAATGTAGTGCCAGATTTGCACGAATGGAATGCAATAAAATCGGGAATAAATGTTGACAATCATTTAGAAGATTTTTTAAAAGCGGGCAACTACCTGGCGACGTGTTGTTGTTGTTGTTCATTCACGTCGCACTAGAGCTGCACAATGGGCCATTGGCGACGGTCTGGGAAACATCCCTGAGGATGATCCGAAGACATGCCATCACAATTTTGATCCTCTGCAGAGGGAAGGCACCCCCGCTTCGGTAGTCCGACGACCTGCACGCGAAGTCGAGCAGTTCACGGTAAAACAGCTAAACGAGGATCAATACCGCACACCCTCGATCCCTACGCAGGCTGATCCAAGTGGTCACCCACCCGCACACTGACCGCAGCCAGTGATGCTTGACTTCGGTGATCTGCTGGGAACCGTGTCTTAACNAAGTCGAGAAACTTTACGGTAGAACAGCTTAACGAGGACTAATACCGCACACCCTCTATCCCTACGCAGGCTGATCCAAGTGGTCACCCACCCGCAGCCAGTGATGCTTGACTCCGGTGATCTGCTGGGAACCGTGTCTTAACGATCAGTTCACTGCGGGACCCTGGCGATGTGCGAAACATTGACAGATGCTGAAATTATAGATAATATCAAAGGAACTTCAGATGAAGAAGAAGTAGCAGGAGTAAAAAAAGTTAATGAACCAAAAGTGAGTGCAAAAGAGGGAGAAAAAGCTGTAGATTTCTTACAAACTTTTCTTGAATCCCAGGAAAATGACGGCTTTGTGGGATTTGCTGCTTTTTCTAACATTAAAACAATGATCGAAGGAAAGAAGATCAGACGTCAAAAATCTTTGAAAAATTATTTTCAGTGTTAAAGGTATGTTGAAAAAATGTTACGTAAATAGATGTATGTGGTATTATTTATTTATATGCCTGTATTTTCTACTAAAAATATTAAAGCACTTTAATAGAATTTCTTAATTAAATAAATTTCCGTGAGATCCGCCTTTCTCGTGAGATTAACAGGCCCGACTGTATAATATATGTATAGATACATACAGTGGTGGCCATAAGTGTGGACATTTTGTAAGTTTCATGTTTTTCAACTTTGTGCGCTTGTAGAATATATTAATTTTCACTTAAATACTAACGTTTATATATCAATTTGAAGATAATTTAATGTAGAATTTAATAACAAAAGCAAAATTAAAACTGTATTACGAAAAAGTTATGCTCATTTTAGTAGAACAAACAAGCACAAATCGTTTTGAATAAGGACGTGTTTT